AAGTGCTTCTCTTAAAACTCCTAAATTCTCAGCGTGGTACTGATTTTTTGATGTATAACATACCACATCACATTATTATGATAAATCATATTTTCTTGGTCTAATTAACCTCCAGTCATTATCCGAAGGAGAGATTAAGGACAGGCCTTTTCCCTTCTATTTCTTCAGGGAGGAGGGGCCTAGAAAACTAATAAGTCTATAGGAATAAGTGCAAGCTATCCAAGGACTGGTAACTTAAACTGCTAGGTACAGGCTTCTGCCATTGATGGTACTCTGGTTTGTGGTATTTGGTAATTGATTTGATAAGCGAAAATGTTGATTTTTTACATCGTAGTTGAAGAGTATGAGTCCCAGTTTCCTATAAGAATAATGTTTGAAAGAGGTGTATAGATGAGGTATGAGGGTAAAGATACCTGTATATTCACCTGGCTTATATTTATAATCACTCTTGATATTTTGGGGAGATTTTGTTGGACTCGCTGTGAAGGATCTTAGATGATGTTCTAACAATACTGCTATCTGGAACTATGCAGTGTTGATGTTTCTTTAATTTAGATGATGATATGATGTTTCTTATTCTCACTTTCTGTTTATTGTTTTTGTTTATGGGTAAAACAAGCACTACAGCTACCAGAACCTCTCAGCTTTTGTTGACTTGGAGGTTTTTCTGTTCAGAAGTGTTCCTGTTCTGCTGTATTTGCAGTATGGGGATTGGAATGAGCATTAAGTGGTTTCTGATTTGTGCTTTGTCTTGAGTCTGAAGTGATAGAAGATAATGTGCTGTGGTTGGGAATTCTAACTGTGAAGGGTCTGTTCATCAAGTAGAATAGCATGGAAAGAATCTGATAATTTTTCCTAGATAAATTCAATTGAATTAGGGTGAAGTTGCTCTTTCTAATGAGAAAAGCCATCCAAGAATCTGTAGATGTATTAAGTGAGACTTGGCTGCCTGCCATTCCTTGCCCAAGGAAGTTGAAAAAGAGAGTATTTCTACTTGCTTTCAGACAGGTCAGGTGAAGAGCTGCTGTCAGAACCAAGAACATGAGGGTTTTCTTAGTTCTACCTACTTCCATGCAGTTTCTTTAAAGATTAGATTACCATATCAAGCATAATCCCAAAATCCAATAGGGATTTGTGATAACCTTTCTTAGGAAGAAAAGTTGGAAACAGGATTAAGCTGGGAAAAATATGAGTTGTTTTTAATGAGCTTGAGAAGTCACTTGAGAATAGAATTAATGATGCCAGTTTGCTTTTACATTGCAATGTGGATATTTTGTCAGACTTGGTGTTCTTAAAAATGGCCTGAAAAAGTAGACATATAATAAATGTAATAAAAGCAGACATATCTCTCACAGATAAGGGAGACTTTACAAAGCTTTACTGGTTTGTTCTATGGTCACACCATAGCATGTGGCCCTGTTCCCGACCTGCCAGGTGTCATCAGTGGCTGACTGAGTTTCTGGTGCTATTTTGTGTATTCTGCTCTCGGATCTTTACTTTAAGGCCATGTGATAGTATTTGTAGGAATGGTTAGTAACAGTTAGGTGGGCTGCTTTTATGTGATGGAAATTCAAGGAGAGATTGATAGTCATGAGAAATAATGAAAAACCATCACCATGGAGAGTGAGTTTCTTATCAGTCATAAACTGCACAAAAAAAAAATGCAATATACAGCTTAGGAAAAGAAGAGGAAACAAAGAAAAAAAAATGTAGCAAAATTTGATGGTCCAAATTATTCAGCACATAGGATAAGCACGTGCTGTGTTCTGACTTAAGTGATGAATTATTGTTCTTGGCTGTTTTTCCTACCCTCTTTTGTAACCAAGTAGTTGTTCACTGCAGCTTAGTATTGGAAGAAGGGACAATGGGTTTATTTAAAGCATGAAGGCTTCCCCGCATGGATCAGGGGACAATAGAAACAGCCATGGTGCCAATTTTAGATTTAGATGCTTAATTGCTTTAAAAATTATTCCTTATGCTTTATTATCATTGTGCCTTTGCTACCACTGAAATTATATAAGCATAGCAATACTCCATACCCATTTAATCTGTTAAATGCCAGCTGTTAATGTGATTACATGCATTCATTAACTAACCCGTTAAAGCTATCTGAAATTTGAAGCAGCCACTGAAGTTCTGGTGATTATTTTATTTTATTTTAATAACAAAGTATGGAGGGGAATGAGCAGCAGTTATATGGCAGATATGCAAGAAATAAATGGGTACAAGAGATACTGGTGATAAAACTGCAGACACTTATGGGAGGTTAGTACTGAACCTTTGCGCAGTTGGTGCATCAATGATGTTAGGCCATTTTTGGTTCTGAAACTGAAACATGCACTTGTAAGGTAGAAGAAATTCCCATGTAAATAATTAGATTATGCCAATAATAATTAAATAATTACCTTTTGCCGTTTTACCTAATAGCTGCTATAGCTGCAGCTGAATACCACGGTCTTCACTTCTTTCCTTTGACAACTTATGAACGTTGTTGTAAGTTACTAAGTGGCTGTCTGTACCACCTTGGAAATAGTTGTGGTTTTGTGGGGAGCAGAATGATCCCTCTGCCGTTTGTAGCTTTTAGCACATGATGCCATGAGTATACTTGATAGAAGTCAATAAAATTCCTTTCTGAAATGTTTTTATCTTTGAGCACTAGTTGTATGAGCTACCAAACAAAAACTGTCAGAGACAAATACTTTTTAGGAAAAAATAGCAATATAATCGTAGCTTATAGATAACAAATGAAGAAAGGGAGAGTAAGGAAAAAGATACAAGAGTAGCACTACAGAAATGGAGGTCAATATAAATAAGGGTATAGCTTATGATGGCATAACTTTTCTTGTAGAGTATCTTCTGTCACCTGTCCCCTGTTCCTTGGTAATAATGAGGACAGGGTTTTTGTTGTTTTTTTTTCTTTTTTTTTTTTTTTTTTTGCGTGGTGTCTATGCCTCACACTATGTAAGGAGTAATAGAAAGAGGAGAATGGATTTCTGATGGTGAAGCCAAAATCAGTGACATCAGAGGAAGCAATATAATTTTCTACTTATTCTTAATTGCATAACTAGTAAATATAATCCGGAAAGTACAAGGTATGAGATTTCTTGGCCTAGCGAGGCAGCATGTGGCCAAGCCCCTACTACAAGCAACCTGGCTCGTGCTGGTGTGCAGCTGGCCAACCTTTGCACCATTGCTCGAGCAGCACACTGCGGGCACTGCACCTGCTGCTGTCTCTGAGCAAAGCTCCTCTCTGCATGATGTGAAAAGCAAATGTAGAGAAGCCCCCATGTTAACATTTACAGCAATGTGTTGTGGACGATAAGTCTTCTTCCCAGAGGGAAAATGGAAGCAGCAGTGAACTGCTCTTTCCTACTTAGTAATAACTGAGCAGATAAATGTGCCTTCCTTAGCATTGCTTCAGGCACTACTATCTACTGGTTTGCTTTTGAGCCGTAAGTTCCCATGATAACTTTTTATCCTCTGGACAGGTCCTGAAATAAAAATATTTTATATTTTGCTTGCTTATTTTTTAAAATGTTTTTTATTTCAGGATTCCCTTGTCCATTTCTCAAAAGCAGCTTACTCATCCTTGTTACCTTTTCAAATCCAGCATGTTCTGTGGAGCTCGTGCCAGATGCTGCTCACTTGCTGTGGGTGTAGTTTAGACCAAATTATGCCCTCAGTTGTTTCCTTACCATATATGTGTGTATGTGTGTATGCTGTGTGTGTATGCTGTGTGTGTGTGTATATACATAGCTCCATGTGAGATTCTGATCTTTCCTACTTGCTATTGGAATTATGGAATACTCTGGAATATTCCTCTTCCATGTGTCTTATCAGATATCTACACACACACACGCACACAAGAAACAAGGCTGATTCTAGGATTCAGGCTATAAGAAAATGCCTTGACAGGTTAAGAAACATAACATACTTACAAATGTTGGAATCTAATGTGAGAAACTGTTGTTATTAGTTTCCTGTCAGTATTGTCAGGGAAAAAGGAAAGCATCTCAAGTGAATCAAACAGCTTAATCTTCTCAATTTATATTTTTGTCTTTGTAGGATCTTTTTTGGAAGAGATCAAAGAATGTGTTTCTTGACATACTTCGGAAGTTACGTTTCTGGTGCTGAATGCTGTTACTAGATAAGCAGTTTCCTTTTGATCTTTCTGTGTAGCTAGCTGAAGCCAACTTTCAGGTCTATAGATGACTGTGTGGGTGTGGAATAAGTTACCATGCTGTCTCTGGGGATGTTGTCAGGAAAGTTGCTGTACAGCAGACATTTTGAAGACCTTCCAAAGATTGGCTTCCCTCTCTGCCATCTCAGATCTGTGTGACTAATACTTATGAGTTATAGTTTGTGAGTAGAGCTCTTCAGAAATGAAAATTTTTATTTCTTTGGCTAGCTGATGATGTCTGTGCACACTGTTCATAAATAATAAGAACTTCCAGAAAATGAAGATATTTTCTTTGTGAATCAATAGGTTATGATGACAAATCAGGAACAAGTAAGGCATTTGAACCTTCTTTAATAAAATATTTTACATCAGCAATTGTTTAAAGAGATGAACAGGTCACCAGGCACCTGAGAAAAGACTGAAGTGTTGGTTGGAGATGAGAGGGTATGGTTGTAGAAAACCTTACAAGTGACCATGAAGAGAAATTTGGTGCAATTACATATTGAAGAAGAATGCTGTGGTTTCATTGTACTGAAGCTTCTCTTTCTGTTACTGAAACCAGAGATGTGACCTTGTGAAACAAAAGTATTTTATAGTTAACAAATGTTACAAAGTGAAGATCTCAGGAACACGCTGCTAAATATGGACCAGAAATTGAAGTAGACTAGATTGGTAAATTAGGCCATAAAAACATTGTGTGATTGAAACTGATTTGCTATTTAAACATAAATAGCCAAGTGTAGTGAAATTTTTATCTACCTTGAGTCTGTAGGTTGGCTGTTTACTGGTAGGCTTGCTGCCCTGGAAAGTGTGTGGGGACATGGCATGGGAAGGCTTCCTGGCTGTGCTAAGCCAGCACCGTATGCTGTTGCAAGGAAAATGCTCTTTTCCTTCAGGTTACGCTTTTGCAAGTAACATGCCCTAGAGTCTGTTGGAAAGGAAGGCCTAAAATTATTTTTGTCTTTGTTTTGTTTTTCTATAGAAGCTCCACCAAAACTGGAAGAAAATCCTGCTGAAGCATTCACTGACTCATCCCTCTTTGCTCACTGGGGCCAGGACCTCAGTCCCGAAAACAGACGCATTGCTCTAAAGCAGTTCCAATACTATGGCTATAATGCTTACTTGAGCGATCGCTTGCCTCTGGACAGGCCCCTGCCTGATCTTAGGCCTAATGGGTAAGTGCTGTAGTTGAATCTCCTACTATATGTCCCCAAATTCTAGACTGTTTTTCATCTGGAGGTTTTATGTTGTGTGATGTTATATTGGATGGCCAGAATGAGTCATCTGTATAAAATACACGAAGGTTGGAAGGTTTCAAGTACACACTAAAGTGTACAACTTAGGTCATAGTAAAATTCCACTAAGAACCTGTTAAAAAACCCCCCAAGTTACTTGAAAGCTTAACGTCACCTATAATTTACACGAGACAACCAGTATTTTCTTTCTGTAGGAATTTATTTTTATTTAGAATTTGTTTTTATTTAGAATTTTGGTTTTATCAAAAGATCTGTCTAGGAAAAGAAGAAAATAGGAATTAGTCTTTTTAAAAGCCCAGGGCTGTCTGATAAAGGCCAGTGAACATGTGAGACTGGTCAGCCACAGTAGTAAAATAAGCAGTTCAGTCAAGCAGTGTGAACCAACTGGAAGCCCCCAGGGCCTCCAGTGGAGTTTCATTGAGCTGTTTGCTGCTGAAGCATGTGTAAATACATGCACTGTTAGGGCACACGGGCTTGGTGAGGCGCATGGAAGCGGGGAATGAGCAACTCTCTCTCTAATAAGTTTTAGTTCTCTAGTTGAGAAGCTTTAAATTCTGGTAGGAAGACTTGTAAGAACCCTTACAGAGTTAATATGCAACTTTTCTTGGGCCTCTGTTTTACATCTGATCCTCTGAAGTGGCAGATGAAGAGGAATGGGGGATATTTTGCAACTCTTGTCATCTTTTTAAAAAATCAAAAAATAAGTGCTACAGATACGTACTGAATTGAACCAATAACCAAAATGCGACGCTTTTAAACCAAATGTTTTAATCACTAGAGCAGCAAGCAGTAAATGTTAGCATATGTTAGTATGGTATGTTAATGTATGTCAATTATATTAAAATATTGGTTGCAAATGTTGGATATTAGCATACATTAATATATCATCCAGTATTGGAAAGATGTGAGCAATTTCAGGCAACAATTTAGCAATTTTAAAAAAATGTTATAAAATGTGATATATGAACATGAATGTATATGTGGTTTACTTATTGTAATAACAACATAAGGTAAATGTGCAATTATATTTGTCTTTTTGTTAAATCAGTTTAGAACTGTCTTTAGGGACAGTCTGTCTCTTTTTGTGATCATAAACTGATTTAGAAATCTTCTGTGACTAGCAAAACATCTCTGACAGAAGAATGTCTGCTCTTGCATCGCTCTTGGAATGATTCTCCTGAATGATTTCCATTTACATTTTTTATAAGTGTAGCTGTAAAAAAAAAAGAGAAAATGAAATTTACTGTAACTGAAAGAGATGAATTGTGGTTGGGATTTTGAAAGAAATTCCAGTTTGAAACAAACTGTGGTCCTGTGGCTTCTGTGGAAATTTTGATAATTAACTATCTGCCAGAATCACTTGAGACATTACAACGTGTTTGTTGATACATGCATACAGAATGATAGCTTTAGTATTGATAGTCCAGGAATATTTTCTCCCGCCTCCACCGTGATTCAGGAGCAAGTGGATAATCTGACACTGAAATTCTGATCCTGGGGAAAATGTATTTTCAGACAGAATGTATAACTGTTCACTGTGTATGCACCATGCTGTGGCACACATTGCAACACGTTATTTTGATGTTGAATTTCGAGGAGGGGGAGAGGGAAGAATTTGTAGTCCTGGTATGTGACTTCTTATTTACATGAGCAAATTTCTGTAGCTATTGCAGGAAGAAACTTATCCAGTATGTTTTCCTCTATACTCACCCATTTTGGGGATTGCTAGCACTTATTTATAAGGCCTATTTCATTAGTCACTTCCAGACTCTATATAGATAAACGTAAAATTTCCAGGGGCAGACCCTAGGTTCGAGCAGCATAACATGGACTCTAAGGGCAGCTCAGTGTGAAAGGAGCACACAGCTGTTTCAAGTGGCATGGAAGCTGGGTTTAGCTTACAGGGCCTTAGTGCATATGAATCTGTTGTTATTAACAGATCTGCATAAGATGCACTTCAGACATTTGCTGGCAAATAATAGGCAAAATACCAGTAGTATCTGACTGCTTGTGGGTACGTGTAGAGGAGAGCCAGGCAATTAGGCTTAAATCGGTATCTTTTTGTCAATGCTAATATATGTTCTATTCTAAAATAGTTGTTCTGGAAAATGATTGAACTGTACATTTAAGACAAATAAAATTCCTTCTTCACGCATTGCACCATGAAATTGGGCAAGCAATCACACTAGATAAGCCAAAGCAGAAATGGATGCAGGTCAGGAGCCGACATTAAAGAATACTAAGAAGAAATGTAATGCATATGCCTTATGTTTGAGCTACCTTATTGATAACTCAAATAACAGCTAGAAGGCATAAATCTCTGTTTCTTTATCAAAATTATATGCCTCTGTTCCTGCAAAGCCTCTTGATATTGAGAAATACAATAGACCTTTTTATATCATTCTGGTATGACTCAGCTGTGAACTTCTTGTTCCTTTCTGCAGTGTTCTGAGAGTTGACATCAGAATAACTTAATGGAGAAGTTGAGCATCTCTTTGGAAGATCCTGAAATCAGAGATGCCTCTCTACATCTGTAATAACCACAAATTATAGCATGGAGGACTTGCTGATGTTGATTTTTACTAGCCTTTAATGCGATAAAAATATCAGAGAATAATAAGAGATTGCCAAGCCGTACACACACATGTAGGAAAGGGCAAATATTCAGCTTTCCCAGCACTCCAGTTTGGGCAGAACAGTCCCTGTGTGTAATCAGAGGTGTCTGCATTCATTAACTGGAGCAGGACACTTATCCCAAGTGATTTTTTTTTTAAGTTGTCATTGGTAAAAGGGAGGACCCCTCCTCTCCTCCTCCCCCCCCCCCAAAAAAAAAAAAAAATTAGCCAGAAACATCCAAAATATGGCCTACAGCTTCGTCAAGCACAGATTGTGCAAATTGTGGCTCCTGTTACACCTTGCAATGGGATTTTCTTCTGTTGCAGGTAGTGCACAGGCATTGTGCATTGTGTTCTGTGGCTGTAACTTCAGGATTTTCTCACACTGTGAATGTTTACACTAGTGCAGTGCAGCCTACAGACTAGATTGCGACTTTACAGTCTGCTGCACTACAGGTTGTAATAAATAATTCTCATAGATATTCAGACCTCCTGAAAAAATAGTCCATTAACAAACATTGAAGTAGCCTCAGGTTTTGCTATATTGGCAGCCTAAGCAGTAGTGTGGAGGGTTGAGGGAAGTGGCATTGGCCGTACCCTGTGCCTGAACGGGCATGTCTGTATTAGCTGTGGTTCTGCTGCTCTCAGTCCTGTGCACAGGGCAAGCAGTGCCCACAAATCTTGCTGCAAGTGAGATACTGAACAAGCTCACACTGAAATATGTCAGGTTGTTGAGGGATCCCAAAACTGTGCACCAGATCTCTTTTCCAGTGAATTCATTAAGCATCTACTTCGTTGCCTTTCAAGTATTTTGGGTATGTTTTGCCTGATGTAACCCCCTGAAGCACATATGTAAAAGAGAAAAAATATTGTCTTTTTTTACATGGGAATGAAGGAGTGAAGTATAGTGAGAGAGGTGTACAGTAGTGCTCCAGCAAGGCAATTATTTTGAAGAATTTTGTTCTGCATAGCACATACGATATCAAGGAGCTGACCGTTAGGCATAAAGCAACTTTTTCAGTAAGTGTAACTACAGTTAGTCAGATTTCTTTTGCGTTGTAAAAACAGTAGTTGAATGAAAAAGTGAAAACAGGAAAGGTGGAAGAGGAAAATGAACATTTAAAGCTGAGTTTGCTTTTTATCTGGCTTTGGAGAGTGCCAGCTTGTTTAGTATAGCATTTGGCTTGCAGCAGGTTTAACTGGCTGACTCCCAGCTGACTCGTAGTAGTTTGGTATCTAGAAGAGCACAGAGGAGACAGTCTGATTCCTTTGCAGAGAAAGGCCTTAGCCGTTTAGTAACTACTTACTGTTTCAATCAGTTCAGCCCTTCTCAGCTGTATTACTTCAAGGGTCAGTTCAGAAAGGGGCAGTGGTAAAAGCCTCGAAAAGAATCAAGATTAGGCTAGTGATAAACTGATACCGCACAGAGCAACTAAGATAGCCAGTGAATGCAACTATGAATACAGGTTGGCAGAGAAAATTATCAGCTTCATTACTGTTGTTCAGTTACTGTCTAAAATACTGATATCAGTGAAAGAGGAAGATTCATTGCAAAATGAGTTGGTAAACATAAATAGTTGAGCTGCAATTGTTATAAAATCTGTGTCTTTTTCCAAGGTTTTTGCTGCTATTTATTTCATTTATGCCAGAAATCAGAAGAATAGACTTTTCTTTCCTCGCATATGCCTTGACCTTCTGTTTGCCATTTTGGCTGATGACAAAATGTTACCAAGTCATGGAGATAGTGCAGTTCTGTTTCTGCTTGTGCTTTTGAAAAATTCTGTTTGAACTAAGGCATCCTCCTGTATGAGCTTTTAGGAAGGTTACCTTACCATCTCCTCATTCTCCCGACCCCCACCAAAAAAGAAAAAAAAAGTTCTATTTCTTCTTCATTGTATTTATGCACAGTTGTAGAAGGTCTCAAATACAAATTACTGATTCAGGAAAACATTCTTTCTCTGTTGTTTTAGAAGTTTTTTTTTTTAACTGATTTTATTGCAACTGACTGAATTGCTTGAGCATAATGTATATATTCTGGATTAATATATTTTACAATGGAGAAGTATCTGAAAGAAGATTTCTAATGTATTTTCTCCTCCATTTACCAGAGCTGTGCTTGATATAGAACACCAGGAGTTTCTCTTAATTTCTCATAACCATGGCAACTGTTCCTTTAGTGCTATTAGCCCAATGGAATTGAGTAGAGTTGGATGCTGGAGGTAATATTTCAGCTCCATTGTGATATTTGCTATTAGAATTATTAATAATATTTAAAATTTGCTTTTAAGAATCATTTAATCATGATACTGCAGTATGCTCAATCCTTCCGTAAATTAGTTACTAGTGATAGCCACAATTTGCAGAGTAGTGTCTAAGGTGCAGGCAGGTTAGGAGGCTTGTCCAAGGCCCTCGAATGAGTCCAAGGCCGAGCTGTCATTGGAACTCCAGATTCCTCGTTGCCATGCAACCAGCCAGTTCTTAGCACTTCCTGCAGCTAAGATTTGGAAGAATACAATTTCATCCCTTTGTAAACTCTTCAGGGTATGTTTGGCTTGCACATGTGTCTGTTTGACTTGCACACTTTCTCTGTAGCTGTTTCTTGATCATTTTTAGAAAGATGGAATCCTGTTCCACCTAAAATATAGCATGAAGAAGAGGACAGGCTTATTTGTGAAGTGGTACAAATTCTGTTTTGTACAGAGTCACTTGTATATTTGTTTAATTCCAGTTTATTAACAACAATAAAAAAGATGTTCTTCTAGTATGATAAAAAGAAGTAAGTAGGAATATATCAAATTTTCTACATTGTCCACAATGAAAACGTGAATTCATGGTGGATGTCAAGATAATAGATGCGTCTTATTTGGGAGAAGAACAGAGACTCAATTTAAGAATATATCTGCTTTGAAAAAGATTGTGTTTGACAAGGACAAGAGTTTAGATACAATGGTATCCTAATTATGTTCTGTTTATCTTCTACAATTTTCTTTTATTATATACGAGGGCAAAATAGTAGTCACACCATTTCCTTTTGACTTTGCTTTTGACTTCAAAAGATAAAATGGCAAAATCCTGTCTAGTGTGATCTGATTGGAGAGGAGAGAAAAAAAAAAAGAAAAAGTTAAAAAGAAGAAAAAGTTAATGAATACAGTCAGGAAAATGATACAATTCACCCCAAATGGAAGTAAGAAATGTCAGAAGCAGAAATTTTGTTTGAGCATTTCAGTTTATGCATACTGGCGTTACGATAGAGAAGTGCAGGAGGGATGAAGGGTGTTTGTTCATCCAGAACAGAAGATCAGTTCTGCATTGCTCTAGTTGTTTTCTGAGAGAAAAGGCAGGTCCTTGATTTAGTCTCTTATTTGGAATGAAAATACCCGGGTTCCAGCCTCTAGGAAAGGGCCTGTGGTGGTGTATAATATTGAGGGACTACAGGCCAGCATGGGAGAAGCTCTTAAGCACTCTAAATTAGCATTTTCTCTATTAATTGTTAGAATGAATTCCCTGCTTAACACAGTGGTTTATTTAATCATCATCCTTCAGCACCTTCTTCTGCCTGCGCTCCTGCATTCTTACCTTGCACGTGCTTTTTAGCACCTATGTGCTTTACAGGCCACATTGGGCTTTGCTGAAAGTGGTGAAACTTGGCTTTCTGCTCTGAACCGTGGTAAATCCTTCTTAGAAAAACTTGATGGCCAGCAACACCCACTAAAACTACTTAGAATCAAAACTGCACCCACTTGAAAAAGCCAGATGTAGAGGAGGTCCAAACATAAGCATTTATGAGATTGTAGCAACTGATTTTTGAAGAAGGGTGAAGTTTTGTTGCAAATTGTCTTCAGTGATTTGACATTTATTGAAAGGGGAGGGGAAAAAAAAAGATTGAGCTATAAGTGACACTTCCACAAGCTGTTACATTTAATCTGCTGTCCAGTGGCACTCAGAAAGGGACATTCTTTCAGATCTATTGAAAGCTTCAAAGAATGTGTTTATGATTCAACCTACTTTTACCAGTAGAAGTAAGAATCTTCTTCCTGTCATCCTCATACTTTTAGAAGCTTTAAACATATACATCATCATCTTAACCAAATTAATTTTTATCTGACACCCAGCCTGGGAGGAAGAATATTTGCTCGCTCCTTTCCTGTATTTTGTCTGCAATTTAAATAAATTTTAAAAAGCTCTATACTTTCTCTTCCGATTGAAGATCAAATTAAGTGATGATATTTAAGCGTGCTTTGAGAACTGACTCCATGCACAGTCCCTTGAGCAGTTTATGACTAGAGTGAATCTAGGCATCTGCAAAGGTAGCCACTCTAGTGTTGTCAGGAGACAGAGAAAGGCATTAACATCAATTATTTTCATCTACAGAACATACCTGGAAATGACCTCTGATTCAGCCTGTGGCCTCAGTTTTACTGGAAAGGGAATAGCTGCTCTGAAATGGGCTGCTATTCATCCTAGTAAATACTTTCAGATTTGAGGAAAAGTAACTGTTATTCATAAATGTGACATTAAAATGCTAAAAGTTTCAGAGTGGTTATTTTCACTTAATAAGCTTTTGCTTTTATTAAAAAGCAAGTATTTGTCACAAATTAAAAGGTACAAGTTGGAAAAAGGACTTGCTACTCTTCATGAAAATGTAGAAGATGAATCCTTTCTAAATTGAAGGAAAAAAAGAACAAAACACTGAGCAACTTTGAAGTGGTAGGCAGCTCCTTTACAACACTGTTTGCATCAGCAGCTGGGAACGTGGTCAAAATACAAATAAAACACAGAAAAACCTACCAGGCTATGCAAGTATTCCTCATTCTACTTCAAATTTCTTAATGAATTTTCCACAGTCAGTACCTATCCTTCTATCTCCTTTTCTGGATACACTGTCTTAGCTCTTCTAACAGGATGTTCTTTTGAGCTGAGTCTTTCACAGTGTTTTTATGAAGTTGCGAAAGAATATCGTGATCTTGATGGGAATTACTGGTGAATTCTGCAGCAAAAGTAATTATCCTGGCTATTCAAGATGCTTTTTGAGGTTTGAAGCTAACTGGTTTGTCCTATCTCTGCTGTTCAGAAAGGCACTGTGAATAACTGCACCTGGGACCTGCATTTAGACAGAAGTTTACATGTGGTTTGCAAGATGATTTTCACTGTTTGAGGCTTTGAGTGGAAAAGTGAATTCACTCTAGGCTTTGATTACACAGGCTGGTTCAGGAAACTGTTTTAACCTCTTTAGATAGGTGACCACCTGGTTCTTGCCTGTGCTTGCTCTGAGTAGGTATAGGGACCTTCTGACCTCTGCCTGCAAGAGCTCTTTTCTTGTTGTTATGGCTGGAAATAGTTCTTTTTTTCTTTTTCTCTGAACCTGTTTGTGTTGACACTGTGACTTCCAGCAGCTTACATCCTTATCTTTTACCTTTCTTTTCAGGTGCAGAAACCTTACGTTTCCTGACAGGCTCCCCGAGGTCAGCATTGTGTTCATATTCGTTAATGAAGCTCTCTCAGTGATTTTGCGCTCCATCCATTCTGCTATTGACCGGACTCCTGCTCACCTGCTTAAAGAGATTATTTTAGTGGATGATAACAGTAATAATGGTAAGAGTTGATTGGATTTTTTTTTTCATATAGATAGAATCATACATAAGAATCCTTGAATCATAGCTCTGAGTCATGCCATTAGCATTTCAAATAATGTCAGCATATTTTCTCTCTCCCTCGACCCACAGACTGCTGAGCTTTGTCTTTAATTACACACAAGTGGGACATATGAAAAGGGTGTGTACGAAAATATATTTTTCTATACCTTAAGGTTATAGTAAGTAAAATAGTGTCACTGGAAATCAGAGACCTAAGAAAGATATTTTATCCTTTGTATCACTCCAGTGTGCTTTGAAGGTGGGAAGGCTGCCTCTTGTGCTCTTTCTTTTTCATCTGTGTGCCTCCCTGTGCTTACTCACTTTTTCTCTTTCGTGTAAAGCATCTTCCTGTGTTTCTTAAATATCTTTTTTAGATTGCTATTTCCTTCTCTCTCTGTCCTACTCTCTTATTTCTTTTTGGCTGTTATCATTTAGCTGTTTTTGGCTGTTCATTTACCTTCTTACTTTTCTACCCTATGTTTTCAAACAGATTTTTCTCTTCCTGGTGTGAAGGACTGGTATTTTCATTTCTGGTTCCTTAGTGCTCATCTAGGTGGTTGTCAGACCATGCTGGGCATTGCTTGTAAATTTTGTTTTCTGGGCAGATTACTAAAGAAATGTTAATCATCTATACACAGGACGCTGAAATTATAGGAAGACTTGTCTCTACTGGAGAGTCAATTTTGATCTCCTAAAATAATTTTGAATTAATCCTGACCAGGGAGAATGAGAAACAGGATTGCTGCTGTCCTTGCCATCATTATAGCTGCAAGATGATCCCTGCGGCTAGATCCTGGGACTTCCTGCTAGTTAGAGATTTCTGTCAGTTTTGTATATAACAGAAATGTAGTAGGAAGGAAATAAATATCTTCTCCTCTTAAGGCTATATATTTCACCATGTCCTTTTCTGCTGGCTATCAATGAAAAAAAATAAAAGAAAATCCGTACTCCTTAAAATCACACAACCCAACAACTTGATTTAAGTTTTTGTCAAATCTAATTCCATTCCCAGTGAATAATGTTGCTTTTAGAATCACCTACAGCAGGGAAAGCATTTCTTGAAACACCTGTTCATGAAACAGCGTGGATAAAATGACACACAGGATTTTTGGGTTGTTATTCTTGGTTTATGGCCCAATTTGTGATGTAGCATTGTGGCTACGTAAAAGAAAAATCACATGCAACAGCAAACAGTGAGGGAAGTTAAAATCCTGCACATGCCTATGCACACGTGATTCAGAAACATATATGTGGTTCAGAAGCGTCTTGAATTGGGGTAGATTTTATTTCCAAATATGTTTCGGATGCTATTTGACACATGATTTTACTCATGCTCTGGCCTTAATTTCCCCCTTCCCTTTGCTCATGCAATAAGCTAGTTTGATGGAAGAACATTTGAGGTACAACTTCAACTAACAGAGTTGGATGTGTCTGTAGAAATTCGTCCAAGCATCTTTCAGATAGGTCCTTTTAATATGCCAAGAGCTGAATGAATTTTTTGGGGGTTTGGTACTACAATGCCTGAGGCATCTGGCCACAAGAAAGACAAGAATTAAAAAAACTGTCTGAAAAAGTTGTTTTTGAAGATTTCTCGAGCTTGAATCTGATTTTACAGAAGTTATTGACAGTTACTCCAGTAAGTAAATTACAGAGCAATATCAGAAATGTCAGTATTCCTGAGAGCCCAGCTATCATTACAGCTGTCTCACATGCACTTTTTGTTATCCGATCTATGGTCTTATCAAAACTATTCCTTTCCATATTTCTTATGTGAAATAGATAAGACATCACAGGAATCAACTAATCTTTAGAAAGACTCATTCAGCCGCATCTTATATTAATACCAGTGTTACTACTGTACAGTACCCCGTTTTTATGACTGTGCTGTTTATTCAGGCTTATCTTTCTTACCCTCCCGTGCCACAAATCGTTAGGTTTTCGACGTCAAGTAGGAAGATAAGGTAGCCTCTGCTTTGGCTGCCTTAGCTTGGAGTTATGTGTCATTCTATACAAAACCACATTTTGCAGAAGAATACTTAATCTTCTAGAAAATGTCAAGTCCACCCAGGATTTTCTGCTGCTCCTCTAACCCCTTTGTGGTGTCTCTTCCTTGGAGAAGGAAATTAGATTCCTGCAGTCCTTTTTATCGCATAATATATACTGAGGATCTGGTGATAGGCATCCTTTTGGAGTGGATGGATGGCAGATAGCGAAGGGAGCAATTCCAAAGATGAATTATGGGCTTTTCTGTTATTAGTTTAAATCTTAAAATGCTTATTTCACAGTGTACATTTGCTTTTACAATATTGTATTTTCAAAATTTTTGTTCTCCCCTCTGGCATCACTGAAACTAATTCTTTATATTTAGTGTCATTCTTCTGTTGTTGTTGTTAGTGGCTCTCTAGCTTGTGAATATTGCTGCCTGTAAGATAACTGGGTTAGCCTGGGTTTCCCTGCATTGTTACCTGAGGGGATACAGGCTTCATTTGTGCTTTCATCTGGCTCCAAACTCTGCCTCTTGTGCAGGCCTTACAACATGTTGTAAGCAATGTGTTTGCTTCCAAAGATTTGGTGAGGTAGTAGTCTCCAGAACTCACTGAAAGGTATTTTTCAGTGATGCCACAGAGATGGATCTTGCAGGTGGGAAACATAGTATATGGAGTGACTGCATAAAGCAATTTCAGTCAGGCGAAGTACAGATGAACATATTTTTTTTTATTTGAGTCTTGCATGCTATTTGACTGGATTCACTTGGCATATTGAATTAACATCAAAGCAAATGCACTGACTGGCACTAACATCGGGTCTTGCCGACTTCTAAGGGTAAAGTAGTATTGGGGTTTAAACTGGTGTAACTTCTTGCTGTGGGACATATTCCATATCTATTTCTGAACACTTGTTTTTTTTTCCCCCAATTTCAGTTATCTAGCCTTCTGTGGCTTTCAGAAAAAACAGTGGAAGAAATGGTTGCTTCTTAAAATTCCATCAGGCTGACTTCAGAAGCAGAGTATTAAGTGTATGACCAAAATGCACACTTCTGTCTTCATGGGCTTAAGTTACAGTATCTCAGGGCAAGACAAGCAGATTATCTACGACTTTTTCTAAATCCTAGTGCAGTTATTTAAGTTACTAATTATGTTTCAGGAGACTTCAATTACTCTCTTTGTGAAGTGTCTCCTTTTATTTTTTTTAATAAATGTTTAAAGTTAGGAAATTATGCAAATACCAACATGTGCCATTTAAAAGCAGACAAAAAAGACTTAATAGTTATCATCCTTTGTTTTATTAAAGCAGTTTACATGGCTTGTTGTATGTATTTCACTCTTACCATCTTTTCCTATGGAATTCTGATGATCATAACATTTAAATGTTTTGTATATGCTGTCAGCTAAATAGCTATTATTTACTTTAATTGAAGTTAAAAGTGCACTGATGACTGCTCGTGTTCTTCAAAACAAAAATAAGAATTAAAACAACTGTAAATCAGTGTTTTTCATTCTGGTCTCAGTTGAACTGATTAACACAAAAGTAACTTCCCTGATTTAGGCTGTCATGCTATAGTTTGTGCTGTACGTCAGATGAGAATCATTCGTGTTTTGCTGAGGAATGCTACTTGCCTTTCAGATGAGCTCCTTAGTTTATAATTCAGCAATAAAAATATTTACTTAGGTTTCAGAAGTGCCACAGGTATCTAACTGGTGCATTGGGTTTGAGGAGAAGGTTTTGCAAAGATACAGCATTAAAATGCCTTTAAGTGACTCTCTCCAAGACTGCTGGGAGTTAAATAGTTCTCAGAAATATATTTAGAAAAAGCATTTCCTGTCCTGGCAATGACAGGAACAGTGTTTTGCTTGGACTGTTGCTTTTTCCATCCTGCCCAAGGGGAGGAGGGTGGTGACCTTCTTTGCCTGTGGAAAACTCCTTGGCTTTTGAGTCTTTTGCTGGCACTGAGCTCTTCTGCATTGTCAAGAGCCTTTTGGTGGTATTTTCAGCTGATTAGGAATCTGTTCTTAAAAGTCACTATGTGACTAAGCTATGGTGTGCGTGGCTTTGTGGCATGGCAGCGTGCATAAGTGTGTCCAAGGTATTTATCGCAAAATTTAACATTATAGCAATAATTTTCTTCATGACAATTTTTCATATTAAAATTCATAATGAATGTTTCAGTGGGCTCAGATTTCGTAAGGTTTCTTGCTTTTCCTTTGAATCATTACTTACGAATGAAATTTACTGACACGTTCAGTTTAATAGTTCTCATTCTTTGCTCAGAGTTTTCCATTGTCACTGCTATTGGCTTGCAGTAAGAATGCTGGCTGTCACAGCACACTAATTTCGTGGCTGGCGGTGTTGGAGAATAGTATTGCAGAGAGGAGGAAAGTGGGACGTATGCAACCGCATTACTTCTGAAAGATTGCAATGTTGTCCTCTAAACATTGAATAAAAGGCTTTTCAAAAAGCCTCTAGAAACAATGTTTTCATTAGAAACCTTTGCTAGTTACCAGTTAAGAGATATTTCAGAATATAAGATTGTCTGAATTGTTTTCTTAACCTAAGTAGAGATTAATAAATGACAATAGTGGTATCCAAATGCATGTTAGATTTTCTCTTGTGGCATAACTTGAGGGCAGCTTACCCACAGATCACACAAAATTCAGTGCTGATTTTTAAAAACCCATTAATAAATCTCCTGGGGAAGTTTTTAGGGGTTGCTGTCCTTCTATTTGGCTACTGCTTCAGGCAATGGGATTTTTTTTCCTCCTACTTCAACGCCAGCAAAATATGAAGGAAAATAACATTTAAAAAACAAGGAAAAGACAAACTTTAGTTTGGAGCCGTGACTATGTGTTGTGGAGGCTTTGCTTTATCTGTATAGATTCTTTCCTTCCATTGGGTAAAAACCTTGATTCCAAAATCATCACAGCCAAACCTTACATAAGCAAACTTGGTGGTGGTGGTGGG